TTATTTTTGAAAAACAATTTTTTTTCTTTTTTGCAAAAAAATTGAAACAAATAAATTATTAAACGTTTAAATCATTTGTATAGAAGATGTAGCCCAGGATCTATTGTATGAGGCTATTATATTATCACAAATTATATCTAGTCAAAGATATTATCCACAAAAATTGAAAAAACTCCTAAAAAATTTAAAATTTTATAATTGGTAATTTTTGACATTTTTTAAACTTTTTTTTCTTAAAACTGCCATAACTTTTTGAAAAATGAACATAATTTAAAAAAAAAAAATGAACTCTGCATTGTCGTATTAAGAAAGGAACGTAAGAAGACCTATCCCCTTACTTTTTTAATCGAAAATATATATTTTGACTTTAAACTTATATAACTTTAAAAAGATTTTTTTATTTTAAAATACCTTACAAGAGGAATACACTATTTTTCATAAAAATTATGTTAATTTTAACGTACAGTGAATATAAAATTAAATTTATTTTTAATATTTTGCTTCTCCTAAGTTAAGTAAATCGAGTTTGAATTTTTGAACTAGTTCAAACTGTCTTTTTTTTTTTTTATATCTATCGACAAATGCAATGTACGTTTGCCAAGTCGGCAAATATTTTGTTTCAGGCACAGTGTACAAGGTTAAAATTCCACGCGTCGAATTGAATTTTTTTGCATTTTTTTTTTTCTTAATTCTTTTTAAGATGAAAAATTTAAATTTTGTTGGACTTTTACGTCATTTAGATTAAATAACTTTATTGAATATCAAGGAATCTTTCACTGTAATCTTCCCTTGTGAGAAGGAATTTCTTATTCATATTAAAATAATTTTACTATATGATTTTTTTTTCTGTCTGTCTGTCATTCTTCTTAGCTCTAATTTGACTAATTTTCTTCGACGATACATCAAATTATTACTATTCGTGTCTAATTAAAAATATTACCTTAAAAATTAAATAAATTTCCACTTAATCAATTAAAAAGTTACTTAGCCCACATTCTCCATGTAGAAAATTAAAATCAATAATTTCTAATATTTTTAAAGTATATATTGTCAAATTACGTTTGATATGATAAAAGTTTTCAACTACAAAATTAAAAAAATTAATTTTGTTTTTATTAATTTCTTGACTGTGATATACTACCAATCTATAATTTTTGTTAACATGTTACAGTATAAATCATTTATTAAATAATTATATTTGGTTACACAATATTTTATAATGGATTTTACAATTATAATCAATTTTTATAATACGTTCTACTGAGTAGATTTTTTTAAGAATGTTTTGATTGTTTTTTTTTTAGTTAATTTTTTTAGCAAATCGTTAAAATAAATTAAGTTTTGAATGTTTTAATTTTAGAATATTTTTAAACACTAAGAGTTACATAGAATTGATTACTATGATTTCAGTTAAAATTATTTATTATGATAAAATTTCAAAAAAATAATAATAATGCTTTCAATGAAACATTGAGCTTTTCTCATAAATTTACTTTAAATAGTAATAATAAAATGTCCTGAATACATACTAATCTTAACAATATTATTTTAATTTTCATAGAATTTTCTATTTAATGATGTGGATTCATACTTAAAAGTTGAGCTAAAAATGTTATTTTGCTCGGATTATTTTGAACATATTGAAAATTAATACCAATAATTATTTGAAAACAAATATTTTTTTTACTAATTAATAATAACACCTAAAAAGATGTGACAGAAAAAATTTAATTACAAATTTAAAATTGGCGAAAAATAATAATCAAAATTTTCTAGCAATTTCTTTAGCTGTAAGGATGTGGTGATATTAAAAATAGAATTACTTACTCCTAAAATATTTAGGTATAGTTTGGGACAACAGTCAGAGGGATCTTCGAAGGGGAGTCCTTTGACAACATTTTTTTTTATTATATTGTTTTAGAAAAAACGATTTGGTTTGTACTTGAGATAGTTTAGTACATTGTTTTATTGTTGCCTTCTGTATTAGGTACATGAATTTGAAGTTTTTTAGTACTTTAGTTAATTAGCTTAAACTTTTGGGAATACTAAAAAAAAAAACGTTTAAAGCTTTTAAAATTTAAAAAAATATATATTTTTAAGATAAATATCCTTATTGTAAAATATAACTATCATACATATATCATTTGCAATTATTCAATGTTCATTATTAATGATTAAACACGACTAACTTTAAATACATGAAATAAAAATGTGAATAAAAATAGTATTGAAGTTTTTAAATACAAAACCCATACTTTTATGTCAGAAATTAATTTTATTTTGTATAGTGTTGAGAAGAAACTAGTTCCAAAAGGAACGGATTTCTGGAACGAGTTCTTTTTGAAGTAACGATGCTAGGAACTGCTTCCTTTTAAAATAAAGGAACGAGGAAAATGAACAAATTCCATTTTTTAAGGAACGTGAACGGAAATTACAGTTCCTAAAAATTTTTATAAACATGTTTAAGTGTAGTTTTCTTCGTATCTAGACATTAAAATATTAAGGTATTTTAGTTGACTTTTGACAATGGAAGTCCCCTATATACCCAACCGAGATTGTAGGATGTTTAAATGAATCAATTGACTATAAATAGAGTTATTATCACATGTAGGTATACAGTAAATATTTAATATATGTTTACCAGTAGAGAAAAATACAACTTCAAGTTCTCGTATTGAAGAGTTAGAATTATTCTTAAAATGCCAGTCGAAAGACTTGACTGTGTTACTATTGTACCCTGCAATATTAAAAGTATTTTTAGAATTTAACACACCCCTTCCATCTAGTGCTCCTGTTGAGCGACTGTTTTCGACAGGTTTCAATGTGATGACACAAAAACGCCATAAATTGAGTGATTCACTTTTTGAAAAATTAGTTCTATTAAAATAAAACAAATTTGGTATATAAAATGAAAATTTTGTTTTGTTTTAATAGGACTAATAATTCTCAAATTTGTAATTAATGTGTGTGTTAAATACTAAAAATACTTTTAATATAATACTATTAAATAGTAAAACTGTAAATAAGTAGTTGTAAATAGTGTAAATAGTTGTTAACTGTACAAATTTTTTACAGTTGACAGCTATAAGTCTAATAATAAGAAATATGCATTATTACAATGTTATAATATTTAAAACTACATCTGTAAAGTGTAGCATTTTAATTATTATAGTAGTTATTTATATTCTGATTTAAAAGATCAGTAGTACAGTTATACATTTTTATTACAGAATGATGTAATTGTTTTTGTGTAGTTACTAGTTATAAAACATTATTAAACATATTTATTTATGCCTTTTGATTTAAATATGCCATNATATTATTAAATATATTTATTTATGCCTTTTGATTTAAATATGCCATATAATCTAAAAATTCATAATAAAAATAAAAACAATTTTTTAAATAACTTGGTTACATAAAAGGAACGAAGAGTGGAACGAGTTCTTATTTTGGAGGAACTGGATCTGGAACAAGTTCCTTCTTAATATAAAGAACTAGGATCTGGAACGAGTTCATATTTTAGAAAATGAACGGGGAACGGAACGAGTTCCATTTAAAAAGGAACTTTCCCAACACTGATTTTGTAAAAATAATAAACTAATTATTAAAATAAAAAACTATAATTTTATAATATTTATAATTAGAGTGCAAAAATATACTTATATAATTTTTATTTAATCCACTATGAGGGTCTCAAGTTAGTGCAACATTATCGTAAGATAATTATTTATCATTCGTGTTAAAGGGGTTTCAATCATAAATAAGACTCATTTAATATAAACACGAATGTTTGTGTATTTGTCTTCATTGGGGTTCTAATGGCACGATTAAAGTTGTTTAACATAAAACGATGCATTTGGAAACATTGTTAAGGAATCTCATTTTTGTTAAAATTGCGACTTATGCCCTTTTAATATTAAGCTACAATTCATATAGTTTCATTCGTTATACTTTAATAGAATTCCATTGTTGTCATCCATCTACAAGTTAACAGCAGATGTAGCACAACTTCATTGGTTATCAACAAATTAAAGTTTTAATTTTATCACAACACGCCTGTCTCATATTCAATCGGAATTCTAAATTTTTTTAGGAGACTGCCATACATAATTTTGGTGACATATTGTTTATTAAAAAATTGAATAAGCATAAAATAAGTATTCAACGTGTATTTTAACTGTTAAATTAATTTACATAGTTTGCTTGAGATGTACCACTCCCATACAATCCTCTAAAAATAAAAGTAAACCTAAATAAGGTAATGTGAATTTACTGCACTAAATCTCATATCAGCTAAAGACCCCATGTGTCAAAGCCTAAATAAATAAAATGGAGTCAAAAATGAGTAAAGGATAATATGATGAAATGGAATAAAAATAAAAATTTATTTGAAACAAACATTTTATTTAAACTACATTTTGAAAATAAAAGAAATAGACATATCGGTGATATCGTACTAAAAAAATGTGATTAATCGATGTACTCATGATATATGTTATTTTTTCTCCTTATTTTTATGTGTATATTGTAAAATCGATTTTTTTTTCAAGATACACGTATTGGCCCCCCATCGACGATATACTAATTATACACGTAACCTCAAATGGATATAAAAATAATTAGGCTATTTTATTCATTGTGTTATATGGTATTAAAATATAACCCTGAAATATTATGAAACCTGAGTAACCACATTTCTATTTCACTGCTAGATGAATCAACAAAATCGTAGTAAAATGAATAAATTAAAATTGACAATTTTATGTGAAAAGCGAGAAATAATTGGCGTTACAATTGCTCGTATAATTTTTTCCTCCATGATCACCCGAACCATGTTTACTTTCATATACAATGTATTCTTTCCCCACCTTAATGATTTGCAATCCCCACCGCGTACCCCATCATATAGAATCTCCAATGATTCCGCGTAACCACTGCTGCTGTCGACCTGCGCTCTCTCTGTACAATTAAAAAAAAACAATTACGGCGGCGTACCCCGTCGGCAACAGTATAATCTATACAACAACAAACAACGTGTTAAACGCCGTTCCCGTGCGGAACCGTCTTATACCTACCGTAGTAGGGTAGTAGTAGTGCGTGGTCCGTGTGTGTAGTATTATCATTAGTGGGTCTCTTATTAAAAAATTTAATATTAATAAAAATTTTCAAGTTAATAAAAGAGCGGTGTTTATTATGCCGACATTGACAGCCGGGACACTGACTTGTGGTCGATGAACGTCGTTTGTGTTGTCGTCAGTTCTATCTTCAGCGCCTCTCGCTCCGTCTCACTCTGTAATCATTGCGATGATACTACAACTGATATCGCGGCCGCCGATGCCGCTGATATTCTTTTATTGATAACTAGCCGACTAGTATAAACAACAACAACGCCGTCGTATCCAACACCGGAACGAACGACGGCGTCTTTTTACCAACCAGTATACCCGTAATCGTACAGAATATTATCATAAAGTAGATTATTGTTCTAGTTATTTGTCGTATTATAGAAGTAATATAATTGTAGTTATAATTAACGTTGGCGTAATTACCGCGGAAAGCGGCCAACCGCGTTATCCAAAAACCGGAAACGTCTACTGATAAAAGTTGCCAGTGTTTTTTTGTTAAAAATAATCATATATTTCTACAATTTCAAAAACTTTTTGAGTTATATAATGACTGCAAACATGTATAGAGTTGGAGGTAAGTGTTCATTAAAATTTTGATTAGTTATTTTTAACAGCCGGTTTTTTCAGACTATGTGTATTTTGAAACATCTAATGGATCACCATTTCAAATTAGACGCATTGAAGAACTGAACAAAACTGCCAATGGAAATGTTGAAGCAAAAGTTATGTGTTTTTTTCGTCGATGTGATCTTCCTAGTACATTAATTGTTTTAGCTGATAAACATCAACAAGGTTTGTAGTATTAGTTTAGTATTTTTGTTGAAAACATAAAGAATATAACATTAAGCTTTTTTTTCAGTGGCATCCTCTACATTAGATGATTGCCGTGGGATCAAAAAAAATTCTGTCATGTCTATTAAACCTGGAAAAGATGGTAGTACACAACAACAAGATTCAGTAAAAGATTCCAATTCGAATGAAAATGATGAAAATCCTGTTGCTATGGATTGTACTTCTGCTACTGATGGTGAAGAAACTAAGGGATACCTTACAACTCTAAGTGAAAATGATAGCAATATAAAGAAAATAGATGCACCTAATTCTTTATTACAACATAGACTGAAGCAAAGAGAATTATTTTTATCAAGACAGGTAGAAACTTTACCAGCTACTCACATTAGAGGGAAATGTTTTGTAACTCTTTACAATGAAACGGAGTCATTTGAGAGCTATTTAAATAAAGAGGTATTTATTATTCATAAAATAAAATCATTTAATTTTCTATGAGGACATTTTATTAAAATCTAATTGTTTAATATGAACAGATTATATAATATTAAGGTTTAAAAAAAGTTATTAGGAATTTTCTTGGGCGTTATTTAAATATGTTACAATTAGAAAGCAAATTAATATGCTTTTATACAATTTTTTGAACCATTTTAAAAAGATTTGTGTATGTTTGTTGTAGACATATGTAGTAATATAGAAATATTTTTTGTTTTAAGGGGGAATAAACTATCTTATTTCCCCAATGCATAACCCTAGTTATAACACATACATTTTTCAAGCTAATTAATATAAATTTGTTTTGGCTTGTAGGGTTGTCAACATTATATATTTTTAGCTTCGATGCGAAGCTGAGAAGGTATTAATTTTACTGTGTTTTTTTTTTTTTTTTATCTCTGTTGCCACTTTTTCTCAGCTCTCACTGGACCTATTTCTTTCAAAAGTACGTCAAAAGATCACAAATCGTATCTAGTTGGAGACATTACCCTTATAAATTGAAAAAAATTCCTTCGTTCCCCGAAAATGGGGGAAATATCCAAAAAATTACAAATTTCGGTAAAAAAATCGGTAAATTTTGTCATTTTTTTCACTTTTTTTTCTTAAAACTTCCATAACTTTTTGAAAAATAAACAAATCAACATAATTTTTTTTTCTACTAAAACCTTAGATATTTCCTTTTCGTTTGATATCATTTTGTTGAAAATCTAACACTTAACCTGTACATGGGGGGGATTTAAAATAGCAACTTTTTACAAGAACTAACTTTTTCAACTTAATTTTTGAAATTGTTCCGGAAATACTGCGTCCTTTAAACATATATCAAATTAAAGCTTATTTTATGTGCTATAAAATAAAAATAAAAAAATTTGTCCCAACGACCTTCTATGCGCAAATGGCTATCGTATTCAAAAATATGCTATTTTAACAAATTTTTTTTTTTTAAATTAAACAATATCTACAGATTTGCATCGAAGCGTTTTTTATGATAGTGATTTTAATCACTGTCAGATATCATCTATACTGGACTCAACTATGCCACGACCTCACTGTGCTGGGTTTTTTTATTATCTTATTACTTAAAATTATTTTCTATTAATTTTTAAATTTATAAGAAAAAAAATGTTTGTATTAACCCTTTTTAAATATTAACTAGTTTGATACATATCTTGAATTTTCTTATCTAATAATGTAATGTTCATATTACCTTACATATCAAATCTAGTTATCTTTAAATATGATCTAACATATTTTGTATTTTAAGTGTAAAAAGTATTTGATTATACTTAAATAAATTTAATAGTTTTTTCAAATCAATATTGTCCAAATTTAAGTGATATTATATCATATACAAAAGAGTATCAATTTCAAAAATTAAATATTAAACGTTATTTTTATCATTAACATTAGAAAAGTATGAACATTAGTGAGAATATGTTACAACAGATCATACTAAAATTTTTTTTTATTTTATATAATATATAAACATGGTTGTAGATATCCTAGGATTGTATTCTGTGGGTTTATTATAATAATAATATCAGAAGACTACTAGATTTTAAATAAATAATAATTATACTTAGATAATGTCAAAATAAAATATTTTCAAATTATGTCTTATAATAAATAATACAATGTTAATATTTGACATATATATATATATATGTGTGTATGTGTGTGTGAGAACCATTGATGTTTATATGATACCACTTCCAGGGTCTAGAGGCAAATACTGGTATCATTTAATATTAACATTAGGGAAACTTAAATTAAGTAATGAGTTGGTTGAGATGTGTTTTTGTCATTGTGTGCGTTTGAATCATATGTGTATTTAGTTTATATATGTTTCTGTTTGAGAATTTTTAACATGGATTCTGTGTGTGAATAATAATATATATTGTATATAATAGTATTGTATTTTTGTTCTGTTCCTGTTGTTGTCTGTCAATTTCTACAAGTTTTTAGGGGCCTGTCCTTGATTATCAGTCAACAAACAGGAGTAGAGATTAAAAAAAATATCTTATCAACTAAAAATTCAGATAATTTTAAAAATATTTAAGTGTTAGTGGCGAAAATATCTAAAATGTTGTTTCTGTAATTATATTAGTAGACGCCATCATTTTTGTAGAGTAAACACTCAATTTTTCTTTCTTTGTTTTTCGCAAGATCTTATCATTATTAAACGGTTTCTAATATCAATTTGATTTTTATAAAACCCTTTGATTATATAACAGTTTGAGATGCCTAAGAAATGAATGAATGAAATGAAGAATGAAAGTATGGATTAAGTTTCAAAACTTATAGAGGAAGTATTTACTTTGAGACTTGAGTGTAGCAAATCTCATTTAAGCTTTAGAAATGTTGAAGAATCACTCTCAACGTCTTCTGGTGATGATGCTTATCCAGTTAATCAATGGATTGTAGAAATGGTTAGTGTACTACGTAAGTCTGACCCTGAGAAGTTAATTTATGGTAAACGTTTATTAATAAAGAAGAAAAATAGTGCAATTTTATGAACTTTTATGCTAGAATAACTAGCAGTTATGAAAAAAGTATTAAACTTTTAAAACAAATATTGCAAACAGCTTCTGAATATAGATTACACATCAAATAGAGCAATTGTTAATTTCTACGTACAGATATCAAATATCTAGGATATCGAATTTGTAAAAATACTGTAAGACCTTCAATATTGAAAACTGCTACAGTTATAAAGTTAAAGTCTTCACCTAATTCAATAAACGCAATGAAGATTTTTCTTGGTTTTACTGGATATTTTAGAAAAATTATAAAGGACTATTCATTGATTACTAAATCTTTGACTGATATATTACATAATGGAGTTAAGCTTAAATTTGGAAAAGAAGAACAAGATGCCATGGCATATGCTGAAGAAAAAACTGGTGGATAATCCAGTTCTACATATATATAATCCTCATGCTGAAACGGAACTACATATAGACTCAAGTGCTAATGGTTTTGGGGCTATATTATTACAAAATGATGCTTATAATAGTAATTTTCATCCAGTATACTATTCTAGCAGGAGCACCATTGATGCCCAAAGAAGTACCATAATTATGAACTAGAGGTACTTGCTATTATCGAAGCCTTGAAAAAGTTTATCTCTTAGGTATGCAGTTTAAAATTGTAACTGACTGTGCTGCATTCACAATGGCTATGAAAAAAAAGACAGTTGAACACCGTATGCTTAGTGATTGAAAATGAATTTTTGATTAAATTACGCAGAGCTTAAGAGATGGATACAGAGGTTAGTGCTTTAATGGAAGTACTAGCTATTTCAACTCATCAAAACTATTTAATTGAACATGGTCTACTGTACAAAATAAAAGATGACTAAAAATTGTTTGTTGTCCCTAGATCTATGCAAAAGAAAGTAATAAGAAAAGCACATGAAATAGGGCATTTTGGATGTAAAAAAGTTGAGAAACTATTGAAGAAAGAATATTCTTACCGAGAAGCATCGGTATGACACCATACAAGTTGGTATTTGGTGTTGAGATGGGACGTCCTCAATATTTTGAACTGACTAAAATAATTACAGAGGAATATATACTTTTGTAGAAGATAGACATGAATTGCGCCAAGAAGCAAAAAAAAACAAATATATAATGCTCAAGAAGAACAGCAAAAAACTTTTAATAAAAAAAGAAAGGAAGCACGTAAGTACCATCTAGGTGATTTTGTTGCTATTCTGAAAACACAATTCAAACCACAATTCAAACCACTTTCTAAAATTTGAAAAATGTTTTTGTGCCCATACCAAATAACCAAACGTAGAGGCCCAGACAGATTTGAAATTGTCAAAATCGGTGAAGCTGAAGGTCCCATTAAAAAATCATCTGGTGTTGACTACATGAAGCCATGACTGTCAATCAGTCGAGATGACTGATCAAGAAGATGGTCGAAATGTGGGTATCATTGATGTATAGATGGCACCACTTCCAGGGTCAGGAGGCAGATAGTGGTATCATTTAGTATTAACATTAGGGAAACTTAAATTAAGTTACGAGTTGGCTGAGATGTGTTTTTGTCATTGTGTGCGCTTTTATTCATATGTGTATTTAGTTTATAAATGTTTTTGTTTGTGAATGTTTAATATGACTTCTGTGTGTGAATATTGTAAATAATATTGTAAAAATATTGTAAATAATAGTATTGTGTTTTTGTTCTGTTCCTGTTGTTGCCTTTCTATTCTCACGTATATAAATTATCTAAAGATGTTCCCACAACATGTATTCTAAGAATAACCATGTAATTTTTAGTGGATATATTTGATAAACCGCTTTAACTATTTGAATAATGCTTAGATTAAAATAAAATTTTCATTGGTGTTATTTAATTAATTACCTCACTTTCAGCATATTTGTTTTTTAAAAATCCTACAATTTATAAAAACTAAGGTATATAATTATGATATCACATTTTTTTTATTTTTGATAATATTCTAAAACATCTATATTTAATTAAAGCTAATACAATGTACTTCAAAATGAAAAAAGAAAAACTACCCGAAACCTTGATATCTAGTGTAGTTATTGGAAATTACAGCCAAAAATAATACAATTTTTAGTAAAACTAGACAATTTTGCATATTTACAGAACACTACATCATTTTAAATTAAAGCTTGTTAATGTAATATAATATTAAGAAAAATATTCAAGTTAATTGTTCTCTTGAGTAATTAGGTTTATAATTCAAAAATCATGTAATTTTTGGTAAATTTTTTTAAACTTGTTTCAAATTCATATCTAAGCATTTTTAGACAATTATTTCAATCACTGACAGATAACAATCAATACTTATCTAAAAAATGCCTCAACCCCACTATGTGGGATTCTGACTGTACTTAATTTTTTTTTTTTATTATTAATTACACCTCTGCATATGTATTTATAACTCTTATACATTTTTAATAATCTTTCAGGATACATTTTTCTATTGTTTAGTATTTGATCCTAATCAAAAGACCTTATTAGCTGATAAAGGGGAAATTCGAGTTGGTCATAAATATCAAGTAGAAAACCTACCTACACCAAATAGCAGTAAAATTAATACTAATAATGCTACAAATGATTGTTGTGAAAATAATGGAGGTATAATAAAAAAATTCAATAATACATTTCTATTTTTAATTAATAATATAAACAATTAAAATTAATGTCTTTTATCTTTATAAAAATATTTTAGTTATTGAAAAATCTGATAATGATAATAGAGATATTGCTGAATTAGAAACTCTTGTTTGGACTTCAGCTCATCAATTAACTGATCGTCAAATTGACCAATTTTTAGTTATATCTAGGTAAGCGTGTCAAAAATATTTTCATTAAATAAATTTGTAGTTCATCTTATTATTTATTACTTTTTAAAATATTTAGATCATTAGGAACATTTGCTCGGGCTTTAGATTGTTCAAGTTCTGTGAAACAACCTAGTTTGCATATGTCAGCAGCTGCAGCTTCTAGAGATATAACATTGTTTCATGCTATGGATACTTTACATAGGCACGGGTATGATTTGGGAGCTGCTACCTGCTCTTTAGTACCTAGTACTGGTCCAGTATTATGTCGTGATGAAATGGAAGAATGGTCAGCCAGTGAAGCCAATTTATTTGAAGAAGCTTTAGAAAAATATGGCAAAGATTTTAGCGATATCCGTCATGATTTTGTAAGTTAAGGTTATAATTATTTGTGTCATTGTACTTCTATTTTAAAAATAATTGATTCAGTTCAAATTCATTTTAACTTTGATGCGAAGCTGAGAAGGTATTGGTTTTAGTATAATGCATAATTATTTTTTATGTCCATGAAACTTTTTTAGCTCTCACCGGACTGATTTTAATGTTTACTTCATCAAATAACTCAATTTTAATTTAATTGAATCTTATGTCAGCACAAATTGAATAAAACCTCTCAATTTTATAAATTCAGAAAAATATCACAAAACTATGATACTATGTAATGAATGGCATTCTCAGAATTTTTTCTTTACATAAATTACTATAACTTTTTTTTTAAATACTGATACACCAATGACATTTTAATAAAATTTAACCTTTTTTTGGTATGCTTTTTGTGAAAATTCAAGGAAAAATCTATATACAGAAAGGTTTTAAAAGTGAGACTTCTATGCATGTAGACAATTTTTTTTTCAACTTAGTTTTTGAAAATAATCCGGGATGACTGAGTTATTTAAACCTATTTCAAATTAAAGCTTTTGAAATGTATAACAATGTTAAAAAGAAATATCCTGACAATTGTTTTACTATCAAAAATCAGCCATAAAAGTTAAAAAAAATTTCCACAGTATTTCTGTAAAGCAGCTGTGCTGATATGCGACCACTGATTTCGAATCGTGAGGATCTAGGAGTAGGACTCTTTGGATTCTCAAGTGGATCCACATTCTGAGTTTGGTTCATGGTTTACCTGATGTTAGGATGCTGGATAGTGTCATCACTTATGCAGGATTTTTATAAGTGATTATAAACCGCAAAGAATTGACTTAACTCTTATGATAGAGAAATCAGCGCGACCTGTTTTAGAAGAACCTAAGGGATTGGTAAAGGTTCCTTAGTATATTGTACATGTGTTTCTTTTTTATGATCATGATTAATTAACCCCTGACTTTTGCAAAATACTTAACCCACCTTTATATGACGCATTCTACACTTTTGGGTTTGGCTAACAGGGGAGACCACACCGTCATGTGTCTCAGCTCTTGATTAATTTCAGTCTGAGTCACAGCATGGTGTTGTGAATTATAGAGGTGGCGTAAACTACACTCAAGTAATATCTAATGACAGTTTCAAGACGGCGTGCAGAATGCTAGTTTTAAAATAAAATAAAGTATCGTCTCTATTTGTCTCAACTAAGCTGTCTCTTATTAATGCCGAAACCCCACTGTGTTGGTTTTTTTTCTTTTAATTTATAAGATTTAATTTTTTTAAATTAGCTACCATGGAAAACTCAAAAGAATATTGTTGAATATTATTATATGTGGAAAACTACTGATAGATATGTTCAACAAAAGCGTGTTAAAGCTGTTGAAGCAGAATCAAAATTAAAACAAGTGTATATACCTAATTAGTGAGTTAAGATTAAAAAAAATATATGATATATATAATTTTTTTAATACTAATTCAAAACTCACATTACATTTTAGTAATAATAATAATAAAAATCAGCAAATTACTGGCTCTAGTACTGCAGCAATTAAATCTTCAGCCCATCATAATCAAATGGTTAATGGAAATTCAAATGCCTTAGAATTATATGGTTCTGCTGGTAAAAATTCAAGTGGAATATCAACACCTGGCCAATGTGATTCTTGCGACGGTTAGTTAAGTATCTGTTTTGTTTTTCCTAAGGAATTCTTCATTTCTTTTTTTACAAATATTTGTTAATTTAGTGTTCATACAACAAATGAAATTAACAGAAAAAAGTCTAAAACTTGTATGAATATTTATAAATTAAGATTGAAAAATAGACTAAATTATCAACCCCATACTATCTTATTGACCTAATTGGTTTGAACCTATTAATAAATAAGACCTAATTGGTTTTATTTATATTTTTCTTATGGGTGGAAAATGTTATAATAACATTATAATTGTAATATATGAAACAAAAGTTTTTATCAGAATGTAATCAAAAAATATACAATGTTAATCAATAAATATTTGTTAAACACAATATTGAGCGTTAAAAGGATGGTATAAAAAACTGTGTTTGCAAAAATTAAATATTGAAACTATTCCTTAATTTCTAATGAATCTATCTGTTCAATAATCTTGGACTTAAAATTAACCCTCAAGGAAAAAAAAATGTGTTAATACCTGTCTTAAACCTTAGTAAATAATCAATATTTTTAAACCTGATATATGTGACACTTAAAAAATAAGTCATTAAAGAAAAATAACAATTTTCAGTTAAAAAATATTTAAATGCTGCTTACGCCTTTTTATGTATTATAGGGTGATATTATTATTAACTATAAAAATGTTTTAACATTTAAAATGTTGAATTATATTAATTTCAATTTTAACATAATATGTAAAAAAAACATTAAGGACCATTGTGGCCACCCAAAAATAAGTATATTTTTTATAAAAAAAATCATTATTTAATAAAAGGAGGTAATATTTTTAATAAATTACTCATTATATATATATATATATATTATGAGTTTTATGCTTGGTTAAAGTAAATTTATAACATTTTCCTTTAGCTACTATGTCTACACAATGGTACCCTTGGTCCAACAGTAATAGTAATGGAATAGGTAGCACATTTTTGTCTACTGTAACATTGTGTCATGACTGTTGGACATATTGGAAAAAATATGGAGGACTTAAATCTAATGGTGGTAATATTAGTAAAAAATCTGCTACAATTACCAACTCAGGGAGCATATCTGGCGATGAAGGTTTGTTTTTTAATAAACAATAAAATTAAATTAAAGATAATATTGAATTTTTTTCTTATATTTACAGATAGACCTCTGTCAAATGCTTCTGCAACATCATTAGTAATGAATCAAAACAATCAAAGTGGGGGATCTGGAAACAACCCAAAATCTATTCAACAACAGTTGTATACAGCTCCGCACAGATGTACAATAATAGGGTGTGGCAAGGAATTTAAGGTTAAAGCTCAACTCTTAAGACATTATAGTGGCGCTCATGGTATAGGTATACGTGGAGATTTAGTTGTACCTGGACCTGGTGGTACACAACCACAAGTACAACAACAACCTCAGACATTGCAACAACATCAAAATCATTTGTTGAGTGGTAGTGCTGGTGTGAATCTTTCTCAACAACAACAAGGCATCAATTTTGGTGTTTCAAGTGGACAAAATGCTGCTTCAAATCAACAAACTGGTGGTGGAGTTGGAGGTCGCCCAGTAATGAAAACACGAACAGCTTTTTATCTAAGATCTACACCATTAGCTAAAGCTGCTAGAAAAGCTTGTTCTTTGCATAAAATACCTGGTAGTGTTACTACTGGTAATGCTCGTCCACAGAGAGCATTAAGACCAAGACATGTAGCACGATCACCTTTCTCTTCAATACCTGTTGCACACACTGTAAAACAAGAATGTAAATAAAATGATAAATAATTCACTATAAATAAAATATTTTTTATTTATTAACTTTTTTTAAAATTTTAGGTCAATTGCAATTACAAAATAAAACAAATGCAGAATTGAAAGCTTACTTAAAATCATTATCTGGAAGTACTGGACCAAGAGTTCGACAAGGTGTCACTATGGTCGCTAATGCTTTGGCAGCATCACGAAATAGAGAACTTACAGTTCCTGAGTGGTTGCGTATTGGAGGTCAAACCCATAAACAAAATAAATATTTGGCATTTCCAAAACCACCTAAAGCACCAGGTTATGAATCTTGATAAAATTAAATGTGAAACATATTAAAGAAATATAAATATATAACTTACTATTTAATTATAGACGGAAGCTTGATGTATGAAAGAGTTCCAAACAAAGAACAATTATTACATATTCAACAACAGCAATTGGTAAACTATAATATGTTGTACAGATTTTAATGTAAACAAATACAATTTTTATTTTTTTGCAGCAACAGGGTGGTGGATTTATTGATCTGTACAATACTAATTCAAAAAGACGAAATTATGAAGAATCTAATGGTAATTAAAATTTAACTTCAAGTACTAAGAAAAGTCTAAATAAAAATTATAATGACTTTTTTTATAGGAGTGGTTCCTCAAGCTGGACCTCCTTCAAAGCGTATGCATAGAACATCTTCTAATAATTCAGTTCAACCTTCTTCATTAACTAATGCTACTGATAGTTCTACTCAAAGATCTAGCACAAATACTAATGTTTCACCCTCTTCAGCACAAGCTTCAGCAGCTCAACAACTATTTAACAGCGGAGTACCATCTAATTCAGCAGCAGCTGTTGCTGCAGCTATTAATCATTTGTCTCACAATCCCTTGTTGGCTCAATTAGGAGCAACCTCAGGGTCTGGCACTAATCAAGCACAAAATCAACAACAATTGCTCAATGGTACTGGGGTTCCTACGGGAGCTACAACCCAATGTACTAAGTTACCAACAATTGGCAGAACACCATCCATGCAGAGAACTGGGCGTAAACATGTTATATCTTGGACTGATGCACCAGATGACCTTTACTACCTTTCAAATTCTTACTCAAAGTAAAGAATATTTTATGAATTAATTACTTGTGGCTAATATTATTTAAAATTATAATATTTAACTCAAAAAAGCACACTAAATACTGAAATATCATGTGTACATTTTTCGGGAAAAAGTTACTATCATTAGCACTAAAACATTAATATGATTAACATTACTGCCAAAATACATAAGTACAGTTTTTATGCCTTAGAGTTAAACATTTTTAGTTTAAATAAATATTATAAATATAGTTTTAATTTAAAAAAAATAAAGAAATTTACTTATAAATATATTTCATATTTTTAATTTTATCTTAAAATGAATTTTATTGTTTTAATATATTATCATATAATGTTTTTTAGAACATGTAGGAAACAAATGACTGGTAAAGAGTTACGACGTGCAGCACGAAAACCTTGGCGACCTATTCAAATAGTTCCAGGAGTTAATAGAGCTGGAGGTCCACCCACGTCTAATGCAGCAATGTGTTTAGCTATGCCACCATCTGTGCATCAACAACCGCCTACAATAGCAGATGCTATTAGTACTCTTGGTAATCGCCCCATTATAACAGCTTCAAGTTTGGGAGCTGTTCCTTCAATAATACCTCCTGTTGGAATCTTACCACCCACTTCTGCTACACCACCTGGATTGGTACCTTCTAGTGCTAGCGTATTGGCTGCAGCAGGATTGATGCAACAACAACACACAACTGCAATTAAAGATTTTTTGGCACGAGCTGGTGGTGGAAGTGGGCACTAAAATATAACTTTTTCAATTAAACAGAAATTAAATGTAACCTTTATGACATTATTTTTTTCTGCCTAGATTAATTATTTTCACTTATTGTTTTTTTTTTTTTTACTATTTTAATTTTTTTTATACATTGATTTATAATGCGCGATTGTTTCCCACTACATACATATATATTTAAATATTTTTGTTTCTGTTAAGACATCAAAATTATGACTTCACCATTAAAACACTAATAACTATTTATATCTCCATTACAACGTTTTGAAAATGTTATTTTTTGATGAATTTTTTTGTGCTCGCGAATATAATTAGCTGTAAGTGTATATAGATTCGATTTAAGACAATTTTAATAAATGTAACAACATAATTTTGAAATGATTCCAAAATATAAAAATTAAAAATAAATATTCTTTGTTTATTTGTTCTTTTTACTATATAATACACTAGTACTAAATACATGGATGGTGTATAAATATACAGTCAATACACAATAATAATAAATATTATTCAAATATACATTATTTCAATACATTTTTTTTTATTAATTTCTTTACACAAAATACACACCAATCCAAATCAAATAGTAAAATACTAAATAGACTATCTTACTCGAACATTTAATTAAGAAAAAAATATAATATATGTTGCTACTACATACAGCTAAGTATGTATAGTAAGGCACAATGTGATTTTCAATTTTTTAACAATATCCTAACTTATAAAATTATAATAAATTTAATAAAAGACAGTCATTTTGTTGGTTGATTATTATCAACAATAACACATTTTTATTAATACCTAGCAGCTGATGAAGTTGAACAGTTCTTGGAAAGATTCAGAGGGACATCTAAAAAATAAAAATTTAACTTATAAGTAAGAAATAAATGACATGAATATAATAATTAGGTAGTTTTAAATTTCAAAAACTTAATATAATATTATTAACGTCATTAATAATAGTAAATGATATCCAACTTTAGTTATAATTTTAATAACCAAGTAACTTAAATTAAATTTTTTATTCCATATCAAATTGGCAAAGGTTTTAGAATATTTTTAAAATGATTTTTTACTCACCTATGTCATCAGAAGTGCCTGCAATATCTACAGTAGCAGAAGATAAATTGGAGTTACTAGTATGTTTATGATGTTGATTAAACAACAAATTACTAGGAGATACTACCCTATGATGCCTGGGTTGCTGATGATAAGAAGGACTACTAAACAAAGAGGAAGACACAGATGTTGAAGAGGTTATAGGAGAACATGGTGAATAGGGAGCTACAATTAAAGGAGAGTGAGGTGACTGTTGTAATGAAGAAGGAGTTGATGAATGATGATGAGAGGATGGCAGTAGCATCATATTAGGATAATTAGGAGACAGACTTGTACCAAAGAGATGTGATGGTGACCAACTCGAGGTTCTTGGTACAGATAAATGAGCAGGAGTTGGTTGTTGCAAATGATACTGTGGATGGAATAAAGATGGATGATGAAGATTATTTGAAGTGACAGTCAGTGAGTTAAAATTAGGATGATGTAATCGCTGATCCATTAAAATTATATTTCGAATTGAATCTAAATTGTTAGTTTCAGGAATACCATCTTTGCTATGCTTCAATAAATTTTCAACAGTTTGATGATACATCTGTCTTTTGGGAGACTGAATTATGGGTGGAGAGAACACTTTATGCCTTTGTTTGTTATGGGGCGATAACCGTTCAGGCATTGTATTTGAAACTACACTGGTAGATCCATTGGTATTTGGTCCTGGAGATCTTAAAAGTGTTCGCAATAATGATAAACCTTGAGGGTTTGAAATAATAGGTTCATCTGTTAATGCTAAATCATTATTGCTAATATGAGGTACATTAATAGGTGTAGAAGCTAATATGGCATTGATACTATGATTGTTGGCTTTTACTTTATGGTCATCTTTGCTGCTTAAACCATTTATCACAGATGGAGTACTAGCAGCAGCTGGAGAAGAAACATTTCTACGGCAATACTTTTTACTATTCGGGCTAAAATCAACAGGAGGAGATGATGCTAATGGCTGTTTATTCTGTACCCAATCATCAGTGTTGTTACTCAGTAAACGATGTTTACGAGGTGACATATTAGCAGCTATAAATGGACGACAATCTAAAGAAGTATCTCCATTATTTTGATGTTTACTCTCTTTTAATACAACTAGTTCCCATAAAGCATGCACTACAGCATATAAAGGTTGAGCTTTTTTCTTTATCTTTTTTTGACCTATATTGCCTAATTGAACAGTCTTTTCTTCTATTAGTCCATTAGTTTTTTCTTTGTTTTTACAAAAATCTTCTTTAATCACATAATTGAATTTTCGTTTCCTACCAATGTGGCTTCTTATAATCCTCAGTAACTTAAATTTTTTCCTTGCTTTCATTAAAAATTCCATGTGACAGTTGATTTGACGATTAGGAATCTTCATTTTTCGCTGTCTTTTTATTTTAAAAACATGTTGTTTGAACATAGAGTTGGGTAGTACTGTGGAAATATCATCAGAAGCTGTAAAAAAATGATTAATGAAGTTAAGTATTAACTTTAATAATATAAAAGGCTAAATTTTAAAATAATTTTTAAAAATACGAGCAATAAATATATATAAATTAGAAGAATAAATTGTAAATTGTGATATTATAATCATACAAGAATATATTTTTTTGTTTAATACTGATTTATATAAACACATATTTTTCAATGAAAAATGGTAAAGTTACTTTAATTCTTTAATTTTTTTTTATTATGAGCCGGTTTATTTCAATAAATTTAACTCTTATGAGTCTCTTTTAAATTTTTTAAATAAAATAATTTTTGCATCTGGTTCAGATGCAAAAAAGTTGTTGGAACAATACCCTAAAATTAAAATTATTTTCCAAAATAAATTTCATTTTTTAAAAATGTATTATTTTAATATAATAGTAACAGAAATAATGAAATAGTCTCGATAAAAATGTCTCATATATTAGTCTCAGATAAATTGATTTTATGAGTAACTCTTTTTTTCTTAATAGAACATTACTTAATGAACAGAATAGATCAGTACTTTTCAAACTGTTTAAAATGAATACCTATTAAATAATGTTCAATTTTTTGGTGACTCCTACCTTAAAGCGCTATCTTCCATTAGATACTTATGTGTAGACATGTACTTACTAATACTTTTCTGTATGTTTGCATTTTAATATAAATTTATTTCTATGTTTATTTTACCTGTATCCTAATTTGAAAATCTATAGTTATGTTGATATATAATGTTTTCTTGTTGATATTAAAATAATTTTATTACTTATAAAAAATAATTTTGTGTCTCATTTGTAACTTATAAACCAAAATCTTTAAAGATCTTCACAGGATAAGTGTAATAAAATTTCATAATACAACAAATCTTATGAACTATAAAATTGATTTAATGTTGTCATTAATAAATGTAATGATTTAATAATATTAATGAACGTCACATTAAATAAATAAAAAAATGGTGCTTGGAAATAGTCTATTGATTATTAGAGACATTGAAGATAGTTTATGCATATCATTTCGATTGGTGCAGGCAATTTTGAGTGATAAATTGGGCTTAAGAAAAGACAAATTTCAAAGACATAAAAAAATGAATTTTGAAAAAGATTGTTATGTTATTATCTATGAAACAATATTTTTGACTATCAGGACATAATGAAATGCATTATAACTAAAGATGAGACTTCGATCTATGTTTACGACCATGAAACAACTAATTAATTGAACAAATATTGTGCCAAAGGCCAGTGGAAACCAAAAGTTCACATCAAAGTCGCTCAAAAATCAAAGTCATATTGACAGTATTTTTTAATTAATGTGGTGTGGAGCATTCTGAAGTTTTTCTGTTAAACAAAACTATTAACGAGGAATATTATTTAGGTGTTATGAGTCATTTTTATGAAGCTGTTCTCAAAAATATGCCGAAGTTATGGCAAAACAGCTCTCGGTTTTTGCATGAGAATAATGCTTTATTTTCCACAGCACTAGTTCTTCAAGAGCGATTTGCCAAAAATTAAACAAATATTCTTCTACAACCTGCTTATTTGCCAGATTTAATTCTGTGTGACTTCTGGCTACTAAGTAAACTCAAAAAAAAAAATACTATTTTAACTTGACTGAAGAGATAATAGCCAAATCGTAGAAGGCTGTAAAGACCATTCTAAAGGAGGACTTTGCTAAATGCTATGATAATTGGAAAATTTGTTGGCATAAGTGTATTGCAGCAAAAGGGGATTACTTTAAAGAGGAAGAAATAGATTTGAAGAATAAATAAAAATTTAGAAAATTCACCTTTTAATGTGATCACAGTAATAGATATTTTTAACCTAATAAATATGTTGAATTTAAAATATTGTAGTTTATCAATAAAAAATAAATTGTGAAATAAACTATCTTAAATAATTAAAAGTCAACTATTAAAACCCTATTTATTATAATATACACAATAATATAATATAACAATGATTTAATATTATTAAATCACTTTTTAATCTATAAAAATTTTAATTTTAAAAATAATTTTATTTTTTAAATAAAATTATTTTAATAATTTAAAAAAAATTGTATTAGGTACAATTTAATTTTATGAAAGCTTTTCATAGTTTTAATGTACTTCGAAGATAAATATTTCATTGGGTGACAAAATAAAATACATTAATGCTTTTTCATCAATATACACTAATTTAGTAAATGGTGAAAAATGGTAATCCAGCATAAAAAATGTCAGATATATATATTACACAATAATTAAGAAAAATTACCCATTGATAAAAAATTATTTGATTTATTCATAATTATAAACTTATTTTGTTAATTTTTTAAACTGCAATTTTTATGTTTATATATATATATATAATTTGACATAAGAAACTATTAAAATTTGCTATAACAGACATAACAAGTGAAATTTAATAATAGATATTTATTTAAAAAAAAAAAACATACTAACTATGTGAAGAGAAATAAAAATAATAAATTAGATTCCATACAAATATCTTACCAAGACCTTCTTTAGAATTAGTCAATATTCCTGGCCAAGACTTTTTGTTGTCACTATTATATCTCTGTTGAACCTGTTGGTGAGTTTTAGAATGTTTAACTGGTATCCAACGACACGTTTCATCAATACCACACATTCGTTGATGAGCCAATTCAAAGATAAACTTTCCATCTGGATTTAAAAACTCACATTAAAAAATAACCTACTAGTGTATATAATTATTAAAATAGTACCCTTATAAAAAGTCAATCGCCCACCAATTGTATCTGTATTATTAGTAGTAGATTCAACAGTTTTTGGTAATCCTGAGTTACTAGGCACTCTTTTTGTTTCAGAATATTCACTTTCTACTGAGCCATTTCCACCACTTGTAACTGATTTTGGACTGGGGATTCCACCACTGCTGCTACTACTACTGCTCCTGCTACTACTACTTCTACTACTATTGTTTTTTAACCTTTGTTCTTGTTCATTTTCTTGATGGACCTTAACATCACTACTTAAGCTAGACGGTGATGTTGCGGTAGTTCCAGCTGCAGCAGCAGCTGCCATTGAAACAGCGACTGCCACAGTTGTATCGTCTTTCGTTGTAATAATCCTCTGACAATGTTACAAAATCGATGTGTCTGATTATTGTATTACAGAAGCTACTTGTGTTCATGTCGATACGTCTTCGGCTTACAACAAGCATACAACCTTCAAAAGCCGAATTCTGCCAGTGAGATGTCCGGCTGAGTGACAACTGTTGTGACCAACTATTGCCAGAGACGAAGACATGTGTGTCAAGTGTAGATGGCCACAAATTTGTTATCTTATTTAATTATACAAAAACTCCGCGAAAAATAGTTTTTATATACTAGAGATTGTTGAAAAAGTAAAAGTAAAAATAAGACGAATTAATTAGCACATATGCATATTAGTTATCAGCCGATTTGGCGGACGTCCGCTATCGAGCAAGAAAAAAAGACAAAAAAGTTAAACAGCCGAACGTCTGCGTTTAATAAAATGAATTCGAAAAAATCTATCGACGCACTTGATGAGCAAATTGAAATTCCTCACAATATTGTATTTATTATCTAATTCTACGCGTACAAAATGCCCATAATATAAAATAACTAATATCGTGTATTATTCAGTACGTCGTGTGAACATCTTGTATGTATGTTGATATCTCGAATACGGCAAACGGAAGACCAAAGCACTGTGCACGGCGCAGTGGGAAAAAATCACAACACGACGGAGCTATGTGAATACTTTTCGTATAATATTATTGTTATGGTATTTAACGTGACGATGCGCACCGTTTCGCATCTATGATGACTGTACACAAGCGATCCGATTAGGTGTGGAGGTACTTTCAGATTTTATTTCAGGTCAACGCTGATTTTGCAATGGCATCTAGTTTTATTTTTTCATTATTGATCAATCTTTTAAAAAGAGATTCATTTATGTTATACTTATAATATACATGTGTACAGATATTTTAAGGAAAAATTAACATTGTAAAATAAATAAAAATTCATGAGCAGAGTTGTCCTTCAATATTTTTTGTCAAAAACTATATTAAGTAATGATATTTTGTAGAATAAAAAAAAATTATTCATCGAGCTAATAGTCTTTAAAGATAGTAATTAGATTCTAATTATTATTTATTGAAAAATATGATAAATCGGGAATTACGTTTACCCCACGTATATGTTAGAGTGGTTTGTTTTCGTATTCCAAACACTATGATGAAGCCTTATCATGTGTTATCAAAATCTATCAGTTAACAAATGTAAAACGTTCAACAAAATGATAAAAGTTTAAGAACAAACTTATTTTATAAAGTACAATTTTGAGTTCATCATGAATGACAATAATTCTGGATCAAGCAGGTGATTATGATTAGAAATTATATACTAGTACTTATATCCTTATGAAAACTAAACTTTTGAAAGTTTTTATTAAATATTCTTTTATTTATTTTGATATGTATTTATTACTTCAATTAATTTATTGAATTATTGTACCCTCATTAATGTTGTTGATGGTGGTGTTACACTACATTTTGTATTGTTAGAATAAATAATAAGTGTATAATAAATATATTTAATGATCTTACTATTTTATCTTAAAGTTTTTTAAATTTGAATAGAATACATAAGTTAGAAAATAAAATTATAGTTTATGTTAAATGAATGATGGAAAAAAATATTTATAAATATCTAGTATAAATCTCTACTAATTTAATAAACTTAAAGTAGTTAAAACAATTAGCTTAATCCTGTATAGTTCTTTTAGCTCACTTATATAGTAAAATATAACTAGAAGTGTTATACTCATAAATATGTAAATACCTACATATTATTTGAATTTAAATAACCAAGATAATTTATAAATCATATTTTTAAACAAACAAAATTTGATTAGAGTGTAATTTTGAAATGAGACTTGTCTATTTTGGATTTCAATTATTTTTTTTATGATTTATACTCTATTATTTATTGTAACTATCAAACTATTTACTACTATTACTTCATTAGTTTCAATGCGAAGCTGAGAAGGTATTAATTTTACCATAATGTGTTTATATTTATATAATTTTTTTTTTCTGTTTTTAATTTTTCCCATGTCTTACTAAACTAAATTTGTTTAACGATAAGTTAAATTATTATAAATTGTATTTAATTAATGAAATAATTTGAAAATTTGAAAAAAGTTCCTTGTTCTCCATACAGATTACTATGTTTAAAATCATATTTTAAGATTTTATCAATTTTTTTTAAGTCAAAATAATTTTTATTTATAAGTATCATAGATATTTCTGCTTCATTAGGTACATATATTTTTGAAAACCTGACCCTTTACCTAACCACAGAGAAATTAATAATAACATTTTTTGAATGAAAAGTTAACCTTTTCAACTTAACTTTTATTAATGTTCCAGAAAACCTGATTTTATTTATATATAATTTATGCATATCCCTTCAACTGACATACTGGTTTAAAACTAGAAATATATGTATAAAAACCCAGCACAGGGGGGTCGCGGCACAGTGATAACGTGGCATAGTTGGATCAAGTATAATGATATCTGACAGTGATTAAAATCACTATAAAAAAAAAAACGCTTCAATGCAAATCCTTAGATAGTGTTTAATTTTAAAAAATTGGTGGATTATTCCAAAAGCTACATGATCTGCTAGTTCTTTATTAATATCCTGATAAAGATAAAGTATGTCGAATGAAAGAGCGATTATTAAAAAATATTATTTCTCATAAAAAAATTATGTTGATCCATACACTTTTCAATAAGTTATAGCATTATAAAGTTAAAAATGTAAAAAATAAAATCGAGAATTTTCACACAAAAATAGCATTTGGTAGCCACTTTCACCATGAAGACCAAATAAAGTCCGAATTTTTTTTTTTATATAATAAAGTAAATTACATTATCTTTAATTTAAGATATATATAAAAGTGTCAGACTCTCCAGAATACTTCCAAAAGTTAAGTTGAAAAAGTTCTACTTTCTATATGCATTTTTATGTTTGAACCCCCCCTGTATTAAGGGATATGGTCCGATTTATAAAACAAGTATGTCGAATTAAAGAGGTATATAAACACTATTTCTCATAAAAAAATTGTATTCATCCATACATTTTTCAAAGATTTATAGCGTTATAAAGTTAAATATATTAAAAAGAATTTTTTTACAAAAATCGTATTTTTTTTATTAACTTTGATGACTATTTTCACCATGAAAACAAAGTAAAGTCCGAAATTTTTTTTTTTAATATTAAAGTATATTACATAAGCTTTAATTAAAGATAAATATAAAAGTGTCAGTATTTCCAGAACACTTTCAAAAGTTAAGTTTAAAAAGTTAATTTTTTGCGAAAAAGTTGTCATTTTAAATCCTCCTCTGTGGGCAGGTAAAGGGTTAAATTTATGAAAAAAAATATACCAAATAATAGGTAAAGACATCAAGCATCTATAAAAAAAAAAATTATATTGATATGTTCATTTTTAAAAAAGTTATGGCTGTTTTTAGTAAAAAAAAATGAAAAAATATCGAAAATTAGCGATTTTTAAATTTGTAATTTTTTTGGAGGTTTCCTCCATTTATGGGGGACGAGTGAAATTTTTGAGGGTAATGTCTCCAACTAGATACGATTTGTGATCTTTTGACGTATCATTGAAAGAAATCAGTTTGGTGAGAGCTAAGAAAAAGTGGTAACAGACACAAAAAAAAAAAAACACATCATAGTAAAATTAATACCTTCTCAGCTTCGCATCGAAGCTAAAAGTAGAAATTTTTCAACTTAATTGGAAAAATGTTTTGAGAATCTTGCAAACTTCAAACATTTATTAAAGTTTAATATATGTTATAATATAAAACCTATTATTTAATAATAGGTTATATAATAAATTACAAGTTAAAAAATAATTGTATCAAAGACTTGTCTTCCGTATGTTAATGCCTAACTTTTAATAAGTAGCTTGTGTAATTAGTTTGAGAATAATAGGCTATTTCAATAAAAAAACTTCTATTTCTAACCTCTAAATTTAACGTATAGGATATTGCATGAAGAAAACACACCAGAAGATACTTTGCATGTCAAAAAAATGTAAAATTTATCATTCTTTTCAAATTTTATTAAATTTTATAGGGTGTCCCACGGTAATTTACTTATTTTAACATTAGAATTTATATAGTCAAATAAGTAAATCATGGTAGGATACCCTGTATATATTTATATATTGATGGTAGCTTTATATTAATAAACATATAAATAACTTTTAGTGGAGCTACTGATGAAGAAGAAACTGTATTAGATCATACTTTAACTATAAAACCTCCTCAAGCTAGAGTTCATAAATCAAGGCATAAAACTGCGAGTCATAAACATTCCAGAGTAAAATATAACAAATTTTCTTTTCAACTTTCTTAGAGCAATTATATATAGTAAAATTTTTAATATGGATTTTAATTTTAGGATCCAACAAAAAAACATCAGTCAAGACATTCAGAAAAAAGAAAACACAGACATGCCAGGTATAATGCTTATATTTCTGATCTTAATATATTAATATATTTTACGATGAGGGAATGTCATAGTAGTCCTAGTTAAATATTGTAGTATTAATTAAAAACTAAATCATTAGTATAATGTAAATTATAAAATACTGAATAATATTTTTTAAATTATGAAATTAAATATCACTTTTTTATTTGTTAAAGTTTTATGTATAAATAATATATGATGTAAGCAATTATGTTATGTAAAATTATCGTTAAAAACTTTTTGTGAATATTCTCAAAAATAGTTATTATATTTATTCTTTGAAAAACAAACATGTTTTTGTAGAGAATTCTTCATATTTTTGCACTGGAGAATAAAAGTATATAGCCTAAGTTAAAATCTATTCAATGAAAGTATAGCTATTATTCTCTTATAATTGGAATTCTTTTGTAAAACAATTTTTATATCTGTCAAATGCATATAATTTTATATCATGTATTTTCATGTATATGATATTTTATTTTTAGGGATGATGATCTTTCTCTTAGAAATAAAAGAACCAAGAAAGAAGATGATTATTATTATAACTTGAATTCTAGAAATTTAGATAGGACCGAAAATGAAGATTGGGATCATTTTAAAAAAAGGAGTACTTACAATCATGACAAATATTCAAAACATGATAAATATCCTAGAGAAGATGGACTGAAAGTAAGCATATTTTCAATGTTTGTGGATATCATTGTCTTTTACTCAAAATATTATATTGAACCTTTACTTCTTTATTGCAATTTTAAATCATATGAATCACTTCCTTTTTTGCTAACTTATAATGATCTCCACTATAGTAAACTAACATTCTACTATGCAAAAAATAATGAAATTCTCATAAGTGATTAAACATTTGAAGGGTGGTTGATAGAAATAATGTACAATGTAGCAATTTGTAAATTTTTTTTCTGATTCTATAAATAAAATTTAATGGTTTCATAGCATGTTATTTTGCAAAAAAAAAATTGCAATTCGAAAAAGTGATATGTAACACTTCTTGATTTAATTTTTTGCAGATAATGTGCTATAAAGCAATCTAATTATATTTTTACAATCAAAATATTTGTTTATAATTTTTTACTTTGCATGTTAATCATAGTCTACTTTCCCATAGCCCCTTCTTTTATTATATAAGTTGTGTAATTCATAAATTGTATATATATATATATATATATATATTTATGAACTTTTTATAGTATTCGATTATTTTTAAGTTTGATTTTAATGTGGTTTTAAATATTACTGACATCAAACAAATATTTTAAAATTAAAATTGCTTATTAACCTGAGTTCTAATTTATGAGCTTTAGATTTATTATTAAATTGCATGCACATACATTTATATGTATGAAATTTTTCATTTATAAAGGAAAATGATTTGAGAAATTTGTTACAAAAAAAGAAAATGGCAAAAGAAGAGAGATATCGTTCCTCAGACTATAAACATAATTATCTATCAAAAGAAATTAACAATATTGACATCAGAGAAGCACATGCTAAAGCAAAAAAACAACAAGAAGAAGATAGAGATACTAATCGCAAACATAGGGAACGGGACCAATATATTGAACAGTATTATAAAATGATTGATAGACCCAGTGAGTTATCATTTAGTTGACAGTATAGTGTTTTATGCTATTATCAATTTTTTTTGTATTTATAAAAGAATAGAAATTTTTAAATTTAACTGTTTATGTAACATTTGTATTTTGTATTTTTAGGGCCAGATGTTGTACCAGATTTAGTAGTGCTGTCAAATGAATCTTCTTCTGAATCTGATGAAGAAAGAGAAGAAGAAGATAGAGAAAATGAAGAAAAAAACAAAAAATCTAAACCTGAAGAAGATTCTCTAACTCCACCTCTTGAGCAAGCTAATGTAGTCACAGTTAACAGTGAATCAGATGAGTCTGACCGAGAATCTGGAGAAGAAACAGATAGTTCTGGATCATCTACTTCATCTTCTAAAAGTTCACAATCAAGTGGTATGATTAAATAGAATAATATTTTTGATTTATTATTAATGAAATAATTAATTTTAATTTGTAACATCACAAATTCGAAAGTGGACCGTTTATAATTTTTTGTTGTCTACTTATTTTTTAATCGCGCAAGAGAATGTGCGAATGAACCTTTTTCTGACACAGCGGTGTCAACAACTTATTATTTTTGCCGTTGACTGCAAGATAAGGCGACAAAAAAGAATAAATATAATTAAATTCGAATTGTTTATCGGGATTGATCCCTCCCAAAAAGACTGGCCGTTATTGATTTGAAATTACTGTTAGATTGGTGTTGGCTCTTTATCCATCTTTTATCATTGACCGTTCTAGCGGACACATGTTTGTTGTTTTCTTGTACCAGTTTTTTCAATGATTGAGTAGAGCTGCAAACTGCTAGGTCTTTTCGGCGAAGCATCTAGATGATCAGAAGGGGTGTCTTTGGAGACTGGGTATAGTTTTTTTTTATTTATAATTATATTTATGTAAGGAGCTGTATTTTATTAATTATTTTTATTTTATTATAAATTAACTTAATTTTATTTATCTGTGGAGAGCACGTGTTTCCTTTTTCTTCTAGCCAACATTAAGGAGCGAGTGTCCAGACTGCTCCTGTTGTTTTTCATTAATTTCCGATTATTATTAACGGGTGTGTTCCAATACCGTTCTTTATGTTTGTTATATTATTTGATTTTGTTTAAATATTATATTTTATTTATGTTTTCCTTCTCTTTGTGGACAATTCCATCTATGGTCTGGTAATCATATATGATAGGTGTGACACCTCGACTAGGTAGTAGCGACACTTGCTACTAAAGCCAGTCGTTATGCAAGTGGCAAACCATGTTGTTGTTGCAGGCCGGCAAAAAGCCCACTTGCAAAATATTTAGTATTTTCTAAGCTTAAGATAATTTAAATAAGCTAAATATAAAATTTCAATAAATAAATAAAGTTTTTTTATTTTTAATTAAAAGTGTCAGTTAGTTAAAATTATTATTATTTTGAGATAATTGCTTAAAATTTGATTTTTTTAATTTAGAAAAGTCCGATGAGAGTAGAAATAACTCTGTTAAAGAAGAGTCTAAATCTCCTGAAGTGGATACTGAAGTGCAAATGGATATTCCACTGGAAAAAAATTCATCACCGCCATTGTTACATAAAGAATATTTACCTGCTTTACAAGGTTGTAGAAGTGTTGAAGAATTTCAATGCTTAAACAGGTAGTTAAACAATTATTTTATATTTTATTTAATCTAATATAACATTTTTTTTTAAGAATTGAAGAAGGGACTTATGGTGTTGTTTACCGAGCTAAAGAAAAACAGACAAATGAAATTGTTGCTTTAAAGCGCTTAAAAATGGAAAAAGAAAAAGAAGGGTTTCCTATTACTTCTTTAAGAGAAATTAGTACACTGTTAAAATCACAGCATGACAATATAGTGACTGTTAGAGAAATTGTAGTTGGTAGTAATATGGATAAAATTTTTATCGTTATGGATTATGTAGAACATGATATGAAATCTTTAATGGAAACAATGAGACAAAAAAAACAATCATTTACAGCGGGTAAAATATATTATATTATTAAATCATATATACATATACAGGGTAATTTTTTTATCATAACCCACTCAATTAATTACAGAATAATAATAATTTAAAGATTTTTTTTTATTATTATCTTTAGTTACACATTATTCTTTTTAATTATTAACTATGTAATACTTTTTAAGTTCATCCCTTATGCCTTGTGAAAATGTCAACTTTGTTTTAGCTTCGATGCGAAGCTGAGAAGGTATTGGTTTTACTAAGATGTGTTTTTTTTTTTTTTTTTT